GGACGAAAATGTAGCTACCCATTTGCCACGCATCACAACTAAAAACCATCGAAAGGGCTAATACATAAGCACCACATTAAAATTTGGTCCCGTTACGATATTAAGTAGGCGTTTGGACATAAAAATTATAGTAATTTTTGAAAATAAGTAGTTTTTGGAGTTAAGTTGAAAAATGCTATTTGCAATTTGAAATTATGTATGGGCACACGTTTTACATGAAAAAATATTGCAGTTTTGTAAATGGGAAAAAAGTTATTTTTGAAAAAGTTGTCTTTTGAAAAAACCATATTAAAAAAAAATTCAAAAACTTACAAAATTTCATGGACAAACACGTTTTTGACAAAAAGGAAAATAACAATTTATGGACAAAGAGATTTTATTCCATGAACTAGTTCAAAATGGTATCGATACCTCCCTCCCTTCTAATTTACGTGTTCCATTTAAAAATAAGCCAGCAAGATTGATAATTTCTTTTTTTATTTCAATGAAATGAATCCAAAATTAAAAATAAATCTAATTTTGAATTTTTTGTAAAAACTGAACATTCTTTAAGATAAAGTGTGATACAAAATACTATTCTGATAGTAGAATATTGAAAAGTATAAAGGGTATAAAGATTAACCTTTGCTTTGAGAAAAGTGGCAGAATTCTGTGATTACACAAAATTTAGATTTTTTTCGAACCCAAATTTAGATAAGGATAGTTAATTTGGGAGTCAGAGAATATCAAATAAGTTGACATATAATAATTGATTAAGACGATTAAGAAATAATTTTGTTCGTATTTTCATTGTGAACTATAGCGGCTAAAATTGATTCTCTTAATTGGTCAAAAGTCAATCTTTTTCACAATTCTTTCCCAAAATTGTAACATCCAATTAGCTAAGAGCCTATGAACTCATCTTTTCCATATCTGAGATCCCTTGAAGTTTGAGTGGTTTACGTTGTTCTCAATAGTGAACCGCAGATGCAGTCAAACATTTCCATTTTTTTTTTGGTGCTGTTATAGCGAAATTTTATTATAGAGAATATATATTATAATATAATAAAAAATTAATTCTAAAAAATACTTGATTGTTACAGTAAAATGTTATTATACAGGATAACTATTATAGTTAAGTTTCACTGCACATGGAAATTCAACGTTTGCCTCCTATAATTGTCCCGAACTATTTACACAGTTAAACTTAACAGGAGAACCTATAGAATTCAGCACAAGAACATACTGAGTATCAGGGGCGGATCTATACCCCATTTCACGGGGCACGTGAACTTATGGTCCCTCCGCCAAACTAGGTATTTTGTATACATATTTTTTAGAACTGATCTAGTATTATGTATTGGCACCCATAAAAGTTGAATGGTGCACTTGGTTCAATACTTAATTATTTAATCAAAGAAACATGGATTAATTCTCACTTTGCACTTTTTCCCCTCCTTTTTTTAGTGGTGCACTCATGTTCTAAAAATCCTAGATCCACCTCCGTTGAGTATGAAGTATTCGCCACCAAATCGTTCAATTTATATTAAGATGCAATACATTTTGAACGATCCACACAGAAGAAGAAAAAAAAAGCATAAGCATAAGCGTGTTTGACACAGAGGCACATGCAGCCTTATAGCATTACGTTCATTAATTTGAGCCCAATACTTTCGACGCAAAGTCTAAATTTAAAACTTTATTAAGATTGTAACAAATAGTACGTCTGAACCCATAGTTTAAAGAATATATAAGTTCAATGATAAGAACCATAAAAGTTGAACCTATAAAACTTAAATCCTAAATTCGCCCCCCGTTTGACATAACTACATTAGCAAAAACTGAAGGTCCCTATGAAGTAGACTAAAATATATAAGGAATGAGTGCCTTGATATCCTTAGGAAAATCATCAAACTTGGACTGGTACCATCTTCTTGTAGCAATGCTCCTCCCCATCAAGTAAAACATTGTGCCCAAAGTGAAAGACATCGAATATAATGTTTGAGAAATGCAAGAAATTCCAACAAAAATAAGAATCTCAAAGAGGTAATGTGGGCATATGACAAAATTGAATAGACCACCCTGAGGAATTTTGTACTCTTTTTCACCCTTAGTTCTCAAATTTGAGAGCAAATAATGATGGTAAAAGTTACCAATTATACCAACCAAAAATATTATAAATCCACCATATTTGAGATCAATGGATGGCTCTGGCAAACCTTGACTAAGGTGTTGACCATAAATCATGGTAACAGTGGAGAGGAAATAACTAATTGATATTACTCCTGTAGCCTCAACATCCATTGAACCACTGTATTTGTGAACAAATAGGACCTAGTATCAACAAACCAAAGATATCAGAATTTGTTCAAGATAATTTGCAGCTTTAATCTTGAAATTTCTATGATATCTCAAGTAGAACCTTGTACCTTTTCATTACAACAACAATAATAACAGACCCAATGTAATTCTATAAGTAACATTTGACGAGGATAGTGCATGTGTAGAGTTATCCCTACAGTCAGGTAGAGGCAGATGCAACATAGAGTTACCGAGTTCAACTGAATCCAATACTTTCGGCACGAAACATAAATTTATGTACACTACAATTGTAATAAATAGTAGATATGAACCCAAAACTTTAAAAATAAAATGGATTCAATGCTAAAAACTTCAAATATTGAACCCATAAAATTAAAATCTTAGATCCGCCTCTGCAATCAGGGGCGGGCCTACGTTGGGGGAGGAGGTTACCGGAACATGTTAGCCTCGGAAAAAGACTGTATATATATTTCATATATATATCTATATATGCAATGAGGACCTCTTAAATATTTTACGCAGCCCCCTAAAAGCACCAAAACTGTACAGAGGCGCTTGTTTGTAGGAGTGCTTAAGTACCTACACTCTCTTGATGACCTAGGTTCGAATATGGCTCCTACAACTTATATTTTTATATTTTTTAAAGCGGTGCGCCCGTGATACTCAATAAACCCTCGGCTCATACCTCAGCCGCTACAGCTTCTGCCACAGCCTCTGCCCTTCGGGTGAGCACTCTGTGCGCACTGGGTAAACCCCCACTGTATAATAGAAGCCCCGTGCGACAGGCTCAGACCCAAAGGGCATTGAGGGGGGATGGAACCCGTGTCGCCTGTGTGGACAACTCCCTCCAAACCCAACTGGGCCGTCCCTTCGGGACAACCAAATAAATATTGATCGTTCATATTTATGGCAAATTGAAATTACATGTTTTAAGCATATTATATATAGGCTAAATCTAAATCAGTTGAAACACCTAAATGAAAAGAGCAAATTAAAAATATCAAAAGTAGTAAAAGAAACTCATTGAACAGTACCTCTAAGACTCTCTTGAAGAAATGTATGGTCAGAGCAGATGAAACCAAAGCAAATCTAAGATCCTCATTTGGGAAAATGGCAAAAGAAGCAAGACCAGCAAGAAATGCAGGGCTATACAACAAAAGCATGCCTTTTTTACTCTCAATTCTAGCCTTCTTCTCATTTTCACTTTTACTTGATACAAAGAACTTGGAATACTGCATATGTTTTCCTTTAATTTCAGAAAATCCAGCATTTGCTAAAGAAGCAACACTTATTACAGACATTGTAGTAATGAATAGAGATGGTGGTGGAGGGTATAGAAATTTCAGCAATGTAGACATCACCATTTTTCCACTTCTTGTTCTGTAATATTTTAAGGAAATATTGTGTATATAAAAAAGCAACAAATTCCCTAGTTTTTGTGCTATTTGTACTCTTGTTGGATTTAGGTGTTTGACAAGAATATATGGTGTATTTCACTAGTTGGAAGAGCAGAATTTTAAGAGCCACAATTATGTGGTAGTAACAATTTTTCAGAAAAAGATGGAAGGGGGATATACATTTAAAGTTATGACTAGAATTTGGACAGTCCAAAGACATACGTGGTCACATATTTGGCCAGTAAAAATTTGTAGGTTGGTTAGCGGCAATGACAAGGGTCCAAAGTGGGTACTAGTATTATTCTTGCTTAGACCATCTTCAACCCAACACAAAGTTTGACACCAAACACCCTTCGGGTAAGATTTGATATTTTTTTGCTCCAACCCAACACCATTTCTTATACCATTTTGGTGTGTGAATAGTGTTACCCCAAATTTGTAGTAACACTATTGATCAACATCATTATTATTATTATTTTTTATTATATAACACTTTTAATTTAACATATTATAATTTTATAATTAATTATAGTTTTTATTTAGTATCTTTATAATATTAATTTTTATAAATTAATTTTCGTATATTTTATTTTTATATGATATTGTAAGTTAATTTTATTATAAGTCATAATTGTATAAAAATATACAACCATCAAAAGAATAAAAAGTGCAAAACTGAAATATAATATGTTGTTAATAAATTCACGAATATTTGGATCATCAATAGAATCTAAATTCGAAAATAAAATTTTATTTTATTTTTTAAATTCATCCCTATCTCAACCGTTGGATGGATTTCATCTTAATCTCAACCATCGGCTAGATTTCATCTTAATCTCAACCGATTTGAATAATTTTTAGCTCCGCACAAAAAAATTAAGGACAAAGATGCTCATTTGCACTTCGTAATGCATTAATAGAGCATTTATGGGAGTAACATATTAATCTTGTAAGTTGAATGTTTATGTGAAAATTAAACTAAATTTGACCATAATGTAATATTTATTTAATTATATCTTATCAATGATTTCATTTTTATTTGAAATATACATTAATATGTATAATGTATAATATTTGCTTAT